TGATATTTTAAAAAAACACAGCCTATCGATTTTTTTCAAAACTCCCAAAATGAAAACCATCACCAACTTTCAAAAAGCTAAGATCAGAAAATACCTATGAAAGTATGTAGTTTATTAGATAGAAGCATCTCAGGTGCTTCTAGTGGAGGGTGGTTTTGGCTACACTGTGTGTGCAAGGAGGAGAGAAAGAACATTGCGGAGGATAAAACGGAGGAGATGGGAATTAGGCATTGCCGTGGGCTGCTTAATGATAATGTGCGAATCTTTTGCCTAAAGTTAGGCATAATTCTGAGATTTTTAAATGGATTCATCTTTGTATTAGTGAATGCCCACGTCTTTAAAATCTAATCTGTATCTACATCTACCTTTGTTCTTCTTTTCTTACGGAATGTAACATTAGACTACATACCGATTCTTGTCAAGAAATTGCTAAATTATGTAAAGCTGGCTTGAGGGATATGGGGATTTCTGAAAATGGGGAATTACAATGCTTCCTTCCATTTTTCTATTAAATTTACATAAGCCAAAGATCACCCAAGTGGATTTTGTACAAAAACCAAATACCTTGAGCCCCTGACAAGAAAATATGTGCCTCTTTGTGTTTTCTGTGTTGGTGTTAGGACCCTTTCACTCTCCTGGTTGTTCAATCTTTGAGTCTCTGACTCTTTGAACCTCCGGCCTTCTCTCCTTTGGCTTCTGCATCCAGTTAATGGAGAGGTCCTGGCAATTCTCCCTCTGCAATATAGGCTAACACCTGCTCTGCCTTTAAGGTGCGGTTCAAACATCCAGGAAGCTCTGCTCAATCCCAAAGCCCTGTTGGCCCCTCTCCTTTACATTTTGACAATACTTTGTGGATGCCTATTTTATCATTGAACTCGCCACATTTTGTTATCATGATTGGCAATAATATCCAAGGACAAATTTGATTCTCAAATTTGGCATCATGTTTGAATCATAAATAATTAAAAACCAACTAAGTCAGAATCTCTAGGGAGGTGAGACCCAGGCAAGGTATTTTTAAAAGCAGCACTTCGCAAATTTTAACAGTTCACCCGGGGATCTTGTTAAAATGCAGATTCTGATTCAATAAGAGCTGAAGCGGGGCCTGAGATTCTGCATTTCTAACAAGCTCTCAGGCTAAAGCAGTTCAAAGTTGCCCCCAAATGGCCACGCATTTTAGAAGAAAAAATCATATCCCATCTGTTTTTATATCTGTATCTTAAGCTCACAAACTCTTACCCAGTACAGGACTATTTTAGTAGAAGTGTTGAGATTTTCTTATAAATCAGAATTTGGTTTTTCAGTATTTTAGCTGTAATTGGCCTTTGCCACTTTTAGTCTCAATAAGCACATCCCTCCCCAGCCCCGCCTCGCTGGTGTTTCTGCACCAACATCTCTGGCAACAGAACACAGTGGAGGGCTGAGCAACGTGAAGATGGAGGAGGAGGAAGGTCTCATTGCTTGTGCTTAATTAAAATATGATCTTGCCTGTTCGCTTCATTGCTGCTCCAGCCCCTGGACTCCCTCTTTTGCTGGGTGACCTCATGCGACCCTCCCTTTTTTCTCCCGTCTACACCTGAAAGCCCTTGTTTCCCACACCCATTCTCACATTTCCCTCACTCCATCAAATCCAAGTCACTGCGGTCTGTATGATTTGCCCCAATGTAATTTGAACAAATCAACACAAATATACACAGATGTTTGCAATGTAAAAATTTCCTTTTTCTACTTTAAGTGCTATTTGCTCAAAAGCATTATTTCACCTCAGTTAACGCTTCCATCCTTCCACGTACAGATGAATCTTTTCAATTTTAAGCACCCAGGATAGGATCTGAGTAATTTCAATTTAGTTGGGCTAATAGCATGATTAAAAGTTTTATTAGCTTTTCTACACCTTTGTATGCCTACATATAAAGCCCTACGGTTCCCAGAGTATGCGCTGAGGCAGCCTGGGGTGCAGCACGGAACTCACTAGGAAATCTTTCAAAATTTGGAAGGAAATACAGCTACATGTGACCTCTCTCAGACACCTTGTGAATTACTAGCTCCAGGTAGTTCACAGTGTCAACAGTAGGTGGCACTACATTCCTTTTCATGATGTCATACATTTCTAAAGCTGGGTTTTCCACAGTGGCTGTGATCAAAAGCAGTTACAGTACAAAAATCAATGTGGGAAAGGAAACAAGGGAGGTGGTGTCCAATCTGATTGAGAAGTTGTGCAGTGTCCAATAGATGCACATGTTCCATTTGTAAGCAACTGTGGTTAAGACTGAAGTAAAAATATTGCTTTTTTTCTGTCAATTAATGTGTATTATTTTTTCAAATGGTTACCAATTTGATAGAAGAGAAATACTTGAGTTGTTTGAGCCTAACTACTTAATACATGGAACTGTTAGCTATTTCTTTTAGCTTAAGGCCACAGTGAAAAAGAGCTCTGTGAACCAAGAAAGTTTTGAAACCTCTGCTCTAGTTTAATCACCTTTTTTAAAAAAATTTTTTCTTGCCCCAGAGTTTTCTGACCTAGTAGATTTGTATAATCACATCTGGTGTTTGCTTTATTCCAAGTCAATTAAAGGTGGACCAAGTTGTTGCCACAAATGAGGGACAATCCCTTCGTTTCTTCCTTCTTTTTAAAAATTTATTTTTATTTTTTCTATTTTTAATTGTCTGTTGATATCCTATAACTTCAAGGATGGATTTGGGAAAATGCCGTATCAACAGTTCAAGAACACCTCTTACACACGTGTGAAATAGCAATGCTGGCAACGATGACAACTTTTTGCCCTTGATTTTTCCTCCAGTTAATACTCTCTCGTGTTCCAATTCAAGGAGGAGACGGATGGGCAGCAGGGAAGGGCACATGATGGTGCCATAGGGAAATTTATTAGCTGCCAATAAAATACCCAAATCCAACTGCTCTAGTCAAAGCCGTGCTTGTGAAGGGATTTTGCCACTATTCTCTGTATTTTCCACTGAGAGATTTGTTAATTACGTTATTTTACTTCTGCAGTGCTATAAAAATCGATATTCTACTTTGATGCATTGCACATAGATTTAACAGAATGTATGCACTGAATTTTTCACCAATAATAGTAACTTTATGCACCTGCTACATGCCAGCCTCTAGTACCTATCTCACTTAAACTACACTGCAACTCCAGCAGGTAGGCATTGCTGCATGCATTTTCTAGATAAAGGAACTAAAGCCCAGAAAGGTTAACAACCTGCTCTTTCTCGTTCACAAAACTGGCAACTGGTAGTGCAGCAGGCACTCTGGCATCTGCTTGAGTCCACAGCTTACAACTTTGCTCCATGGCAATACTACCTTTCACAATTATAATTGTAAAACTGATTCTTATGTGGTTTTATCCACTGCTGCTTTGAGTATCCTGAAATATCTGGGCCTTTCGTTAAGAATAGGTGGTATTATAGATGTAAAATGGCACCGCAATTTGAGAAGAAAAGCAGGAAGAAAAAAGAGATCCATCTTTTAGACAAAGCACTTTTTAAAACTTAATCTTGTATGACAATAATGCTGTTTGTGTTGTAAAAAGTGCTTTAAAGATTTTAATATTATTATTTTTTTATAATCATTACCATATTAACATTGTGTTACTCAAACTTCACAAAGGAAATGGAGCGAAGTACAAGTACGTGAACTGCTTTCTCCAGTAGTCACACAGCGTGTGAATTTCACAGCCAGTACATGGCTAGATCCTTGGGGATCCGTGCTGACGCTCACCCCTTCACTGAATACTTCCTCTCCCACTTTATTCCACATTAATAATTCACTTCATTGGAACATTGCCTGGCTACCTCAGCTCAAGCCAGGGATGGCTTTCCTTCGTTTATGGTGGTAAATACTCAAAGAGGATATTTGCACACAGTTATTCAGGGATATTTCATGGCAGACTCAGTGTGAACATGCAGCCCTTAGAATCTGCAAAATTTATGTTATTTGCATGATATTCTAATATAGATGTTTTAACATCATAGCTGTAATCATAAAGGAAGACATTTTATCATGTATATTTTTACATTCATTCTCAGTTTGTTTATGAAGGGATGTGTGACAATGATTTTTTTTAATCAACACCAACTTATGAAACACAGAATCTGCAAAGTACAAAACTGTATCCTTGTTTTTTTCTTTTACATCTTTTCAGTATGTAGATATTCTGCAACAAGAATGGAGCTGGTGATAAAATTCCAGCGAAACTCATGATGACAGTCTAACCAAGCTGTTTCCCTGACTCAGCTCCAGTAATCTGGAAGGGCTATAATAGGCCATGCCTCCTCACTTTACTTTCTGGAGTCAATAAAACGGTCAGATGATATTTGGAAATAGCACCTTTATATAACCATTTTTCTTTTTTGTAAACCTTACCATAAATAAATCACAAGATTTTGAAATGCCTGGCTCTTGCCGATTATTTGAGATAAGATTAAACAGCAGCAGCAGCAACAACCACCACCAAATCTAAGGCCTTGGTGGGTTTTGACAGCAAGGGGCTCCCTTTGGTCAGGGGATGGGTGGCGCCATAGGTGGCAGAGTTAAGAAATAGTTAATTTGAACTTGGCCAAAGGACTATAGCTCAGAATGTTTGCTTTCAGAATGAGAAAAAGAAACCTTCCTTTCCTTACAGCTTAATCACTCTATTCCTATTTTTAAAACATCTTACTTTATAGAATAGCTGGACCACATTTTCTAAGCTGAAGTAAAAATTAAAGGATTTATGATAATCCCATGTGGATGGTTGTGGGCGTTTCATTTTCAGCTGGAGCATTTTCTCTCTCTTTGTTGCAGTGCTAACATTTCTCAGCTTCTTGCTACAGTCTTTTTTTTTCCCCGAAACTACTCAAAAAAAAAAAAGTCTTACCAGATAAAGAACAATGCTTACTGTTTTGGGGACTAGTTCACATCCTCCCCGTCTATTTATTAGAAGTAACTTCTTTAGGCTTTTAAACCCAGAATGTCAAAGCGCCCAAAGGAATCCTACCTTGCCCACATACTGGTAATCGGATCCCGTGTATTCCTCCAGGAGAAAGAACTGATTCCACATCCAGCTCCTTTTGGAACGGTTCAGCTCATTTTTGCTGTTTCCGGAGAGCTCCAGGGCCCTTTTCTTTGCTGGGAAACCACTAGTCCTCTTAGATAATGGAGTTGAGAAAGTTGGGTAGGGCTGACCAACCCAAAAGAGCAGAAAGAAGTACCGGTAAGTTCTCATCCTGATGGCACTGTCGAGTTTCTGGAAGCGAGTCCCCCTCTCCTGGAAGTGCCTTTTGTTCACTGCACTGGATCCAACCTCATTCCTCCTTTCTTCCTTAATGTTCTTTGCTTGGCTCTCAGAGGATATCTGGAAAGAATAATAACATATCAAGCATTTTTAGAGATGCTTAAAATTCAGTGTTAGAGCAAATAGGCTGGAAAAAGAGGACAGAAATTTGAATAGCAAAACAACAAAAAAAAGTTGGCTATCAATTTTGAAATGAGGAATACAGTCTTTCCGATATGCTAAATGGAAGGCATGTGCCGAGTAGGAAGCTGCTGTTTCCTTTCTCCTTTTCTATCCCTTAAAAATCCTATTTTAAGTAATAGCATTGCTGTAGGTCAACACGCGGTGGATTATTGCACTGCTCTTTTACCTCCGAATACGTGGGCTGAGATCCGGTTAGAAAAAACGAGTTTGTGTTTCTGGTTCTATTTCCATATTTATCCTCGTGAACAAGTCTAAGGCAAAGCATATCACAGACCATTTGAATTCAGTTGAAAGTGGATAATGTTGAAACCTCGCTAGAATGCACTGAGTCCCTGGGACGTGCCAGGCGTGTCTGCAGACCTTAGCTTTGCAGGTATACTGTGTTAGGACCATCGGGTCAAATAAGATTGCAAAAGACCATCCGCTTCCTCTTTGGAGTTCACATGAGCATATTGAAGTGTCCGAAGTGAAGTGAAGTTTCTAAAGTGATATTTCGCAATGATGAGGATAAGCCCATACATATTGAATCCAGCATTTCCCAAACTTGCCCAGAAAACATTTTTTTTCTCATAAGACTTAATAACACTGTAGGATGGCTGATTGAACAACCTATAAAATTTGTATTTAATAGACTATAAGAATTAAATAAGTAATTTTATTCAAATTTCTTTAGGAAGTCTTTGGCTTTTATCTCTAAATTTTACTCATATCATAAACAATCAAGCATATTTATTAAAACTGGTCAAATTACATTTTTCTTTGTTAAAACTGAAAAATTACAGTTTCTATATAATTTTCAAAGGTGCGTCAAACATATCTCAGTAGTACAGTGAGGGCCATTGACTGGCTTTTCAGAAAAGTCAGCTATTATGCTTGTGGGTAATAATTTTCCATGGCAAATATTAATTTTCAAGAATGCAACCTACCATTTAAAAATTCCTGGGGACAGACTACTTGGCAAAGATGCCCCAAATTGGTTTACTAGTTTATGCAATTTAAGTCATATATGCTTAGATTTTCTTTCCAAACTTCTCTACATATAAAAAAACCCAATAAATTACTCCTTTATATTGCTATGTGATATAGAAAAATATGTTCTTAAATAATACTAACAACAACAACAAAAAGAAAGTGTTCTGTAATGTAGAACGTAGTAGTAATTGAACTGGTACATTCACTCTAAACCACGCAGATAAAGAGACACGGTTTAAGTAGTCTGACTAGTATTTTTTTCTCTAAATCAGAGAAGATTGGTTCACTTGATTCCTATTATTCTACTTAGTAAATGTATATGTGACCAGGTCTTTTTGTTTGTTGTTTTTTTACTCCAGCAATGAGTAATTATAATCACCTAACACGTGGTTAGTGAAAGCTTTCTGTTGAAAGATAAATGCAATATTTCATAGCACTCCGCATTTTAAGCCCTTTATTCCATTATTATGCATCTTCTTGACAGCAGGCTGGGGAAGTTGAAAATTCCACAGGTAAGTTAAATTAGTACAGTGACAATTAGTCATGCTGGAAAAGTGCCAGGCAACAGCATCCTTGTCATTATGCAGCCTTGGTACAGGTGTGGAATGACTGACAATCAGGCAACGACGCATCTTCCCTCCCTCTTGGTTGGTGTATAAAGGGAACCTGGAAGATGTATGGAGACAAGCCCTCCAAAGACATCCATTCATTTTTAGTAATAGAGATTACACTGAGGTTGATTCCGTGGAAATTACATTTTTCTTAATTTCCCACATTCTCCATTATTTGCAAAGACAAATCCTGCGGTGAAGAATTACATGTCTGCTGCTGCCCTCCGTGAGCGCCCCATGGTGCTGGCAGAGAAGAGGGATTTGGAGAATGGAGGTGTCAGCTGTTTAAAAGGCAGACTCCTAAGGGCCATTTTAAAGAAAAACCGATCCCTGTGGGTGTTATGTGCAAACTCCACAAGCTGTTGTCACTTGATTATTAAATATTAGCTCTTTTTAATATCACAGATACCAAAATGTCAAGTATTTCATTTTTTTTCTTACTTGGTAATGAGCTTTTAAAGTTATACAAATTTAAGCAGTATTTCTAAGCATGCTATAACATCTAGTTTTGCTATAACCCAGCTCTTTTTGTATCAATTTGACAGGATGTGTCCTTGGTTAAAAACTTAATATGCAAAATTGAATTGCTATGATACATTAAGATTTGTGTTAGTTTTTTAGATGGATAGGTTTCTCTTTGAAATTCTATAGATTTTTTAAATTAAAAAACCCTCTAAATTGTTGAATCTATAACTTAGCAATTCTCATTTGATACTTCTTAATAGGCAGGATTGCATAGAGGTTAAGATCATCAATGCTGGAGCCAGACTGCCTAGGTTTAAATCTAGCCTCTGCAACACAGTCTCTGTGAACTTGGGAAAATTGTTTAATCTCACTGTACCTCAGTTTCTTCTTCTGTAAATGGGGACAAATACAGTATCTATTAATACCTCATGGGGTGTCGTAAGGATTAAATGAGGCATTATTTGCAAACCATGTAGAACAGTGCCTGGTACTTAGTAAAGTATTAATAAGTATTAGCTGTTATTATTACTAATTATTATTGTTATTCCTGTTTGAATTGCATGTGTAGAATCCAGCCATATCACATTACAAAAGTCTGAAGAAGATAGCATACTTCCCTCTTAGGCCTAAATGCTTTTTTATTGTTCAGAAAACATTTCCAAGCAAATCAAAGTCTCTTAAAATTAAAGAACAGAAGCACTTTAGAAATCAGAATTCATTCATATACTAATTGTTCGTGTCTGTGTGTGGACTTCAGCATTGAACAGTAATTGTATAGAAACAGAAATGGCAGGGATATTGTATGTCTTATCTCCAGGGCTTGCATGAAGGAGAATATGGGCAAAAAGAAAGTTCACTGGAGGATGGACCCATTCATAGAATCTATGTATTTTTTCTTTCCATTTTATTATGTTGAAGTTTTAAAAATCATCTTTGCTTTATTCAGGTGAAAAAAATCAGAAATAGCTTCAATTTAGTAATTTTGCCCTTGTGAAAATGGTACTGGTAATTAACATACTGACATTATTCTAATGTTATATCAGATAAGAAGTGGATAAGTTAAAATGAATGATATCTACTATGGTTTGAATATCTGTCCCCTCCAAAACTCATGTTGAAATTTAATCTCCAATGTGGCAGCATTGAGAGGTAGAGCCTTTAAGAGGTGATGGGGTCATGAGAGCTTTGCCTTCATGAATGGATTAATCCATTTATAGATTAATGGATTAATGGGTTATCATGGGAGTGGGGCTGGTGGCTTTTTAAGAAGATGAAGAGAAACCTGAGTAGCATGTTAGCACGCTGGGCTCCTCAACATGTGATACTCTGCAGATTCCACCCCAGCAAGAAGGCCCCCACCAGGTGCAGCCCCGTGCCCTTGGACTTCTCAACCTCCGTAACTGTAAGAAATAAATTCCTTTTCTTTGTAAATTACCCAGCTTCAGGTTTTATGTTATAAGCAACAGAAAAAAACTAAAACAATGGCTGTATTTTTGATTTTACTTAATCTAAAAACATGAAATGAAGAAAAAAATAGCATGCTCCAAGCATGGCCTTAAATACAAAAAAACCCCAGGATTCTTAAGGTGCTGAATGGTCATGAATTCAAGGAAAGGAAGGAAAGGGCCCAGAAGCAGCACAACTTTGAAAAATGTGGGAAGCCGTTGATTTCTGAGCAGTCAAAATACAGGAGAACCACATGGCAACTAGTAATCAGAGGTGGTGGCTCATTTTGTAGACGTCAGGGAGTAAATGCAAAGCACAAAGAAGAAAGGGCATGTCCAGATACTAAATTTAAAATAGCAGGCATGGTTATTCAGTCAGGAAAGAACCAGAAGATTGGACAGTGGAAGGGGGGATAAAAGCAAAACGAAGCAGATATTGTGTCTTTTTGCTCCCCCACCCTCACCCTGCAGTCCCTCTTGGCATTAAGAAGAAATCAGTTAGAAACATAAACAACTCTATAGAAATAAAAATTGAACTGCCTAATTACAGTCTAATGACAGTTTAGCAATGGACTTAAAAGACTATTTGATAGACTATGTCTCTACTTTTTCGTCTTGTTGGGATCTAATTTTTTGCGGGGGGAGCTTTCTATTAATATTTTCTATAGGCGATTGTATGCTTTAAAATTCGATATGCAAAAGTGGTTGATCAAGAAAAATGGTTGAATCTTTACAGAAGCCTTATTTTAGTGATGAGTACAAGGTAATTAAGATGTTTATGGATAGTGGGGCAAGACACAAATAGCATTGATAATTGCATACTTTGAAAATTTATTTGCCTGGGAGCCATATGCATGTATACTTCAATATTCACAAGAGTACATAGTTAAGCCCAGGTTTTGTTTAATGCATGCCATTTAGGAGGAGCCTGGGCCTCATTAATTCAGATTCTACCATTTAGAATATGTGATAATTAATGTAAAAGCTGGGCTGAAGTTTTCCTTTGATTAGCAAGACCTTATTCCCTAGATTATTGGAAATTAATAGTGTAAAAATATTTCATAGAAATACACAGAATGAAAAGAAACTAGTATGTCTTCAAGTTCCCCAGAGTACTTTGGAATCACCTTTTATTCATAAATAATTAATATGCTAATTAGAAAATTTCCCCATTGATTGAATTGATTCTCTAGTGACTTAGTTTGAATGAGTCAAATGTATTATCTGGTTTTGAGATATTGATTTCATTACACTA